TTGGACCTTGCCCACAATTTTTAGCTTGCCTATTATCTCAGTACCAGAACTGTGACAGGTTACAAAAAAGTTCTATGAACTAAAGATTATTAAGCATTACATGCTACATAAGTATATTTCTGTAAAACTCATTTATGAAGAAGAGCCAAGGCTCAGAAACACCCTGAAATATTTTGGAAATTGTTAAAATGGGGCCAGTTGCATACAACAGCAGCAGTAAAGCACATAAATGTATATGATATTCATGCTAGTTTTCAGTGAAAATAAAGATGTTGTTACCATCTTTATAAAGTACATGACTAGATTAATAAAATGTGTTATGACACAGAATCATTTGATTCTGTCTAGAGTAAAATCTATGAAAATGCTACCAATGTTCTTATGTTTGCCATAAGAGACTCTTTCCTTTCCCTTCCCTCCCCTCCTTCAAAGCAGGCAGTGGTGGTATAAACAGTGGGATTGACTGGTACTGGCCAGTGAATGGTTACTTGATTAGATCATTTTGCTGTTGTGTGCTTGGTTGTCAAGCCTTTGAACAGGAGTGAGGCTAAGGTTGACCTTGTTATGATAAAAAACCTTGTTGCCTTTCAAATGCAAATAAGTTTGTTATCATGCTAACTAGATACTGGTCTCCATCACAACAAGGTCACCTTCAGCCTCACTCCAAATCAAAGGCTTGACAACTTAGGACACAACTGTAGAATGGCTTATTGTCAGTTCCTAAGCCAAGACCATGGGGGGGGGAGGGGGGAAGGGAGGGTGGGATTAGCTTTAAAAGCAGCTTAAACCTCCAAAGCAGCTTACAAACTGCTGCTAAGAAATTGAGCAAGGGGAATCCCATTAGCTGAATTATTTAAGAAAGTCCTTGAACTAATCTCAAAATAATAGTACTCTCTTTAAAATTCCCTCCTTATGCCCAACCCTCTCAACAAATCCTCAGAATAAAGACAGGGAATTATGATGCTTTGATAAGGCTATGCGTATTGTTACTTATTAATAATTGCCCAATAGTTAGGCTAGAAAAATAAATTAGTCTGTAAAGCTGTGTATCCACTTGTGATCTGGTGAGGTGTTCTCGACCAAAGTTGCTGTCTATTCAGTATTCATTAAAGCTAATGAAAAGTTCAGAAGAAAATGTTGGCACTCAATGTGTTATTAAGAAGCTCTTCCTCTTCCCAGACCCACTCATTCTCA